CTGATAGTACGCTGTATGAGAAGGAGATATATTCTCCATGAGTTCACTCCTTTGGAGGTCTCGAAATTCAGAAAGGTGTAAACGGAGTTTTCGTTGAAGACGATTAGCCGTATGCCTATATTCGGGGGTGGGATATTTAGCTGCTCTCCGGAAAGCAGCTTTTTTAGCTTTTAATATGTTGCTAATATATAGGGGAAGCCCATTAGCATTAGCAGCCGGGACGACCCTTTCATTCTCCTTAAGGGAGGATTTAATTAGGGTTGAAAGTGAATCGACCGCAGTGTCGATTTTTACGGGACTGTCTAAGTCTAAATCCGTCGATAGGTAATTAGGGGAGTCCTGCGAGTCCATAGCTTTTGCTAGGGAGTCCTTGAAACCCTTCCAGTTAGTGAAGGTTTTCGTAGTTATAATAGGGGGTGGCTGATGGCCAAGAATAAGGGAGACCGGTCGGTGATCGGATCCTATATCGTCTAGTGTCTCAATAGACCTGAGGTTGAGTGAAACTCCTTTGAGTAACGCAAAATCTAGTACATCTGGGTTTAAATCCGTAGCATCGGGATAGTGCGTTGCACCGAGTGGGCTGAAAACGGTTATGTCAAGAGACTGCGTTATATCACGCAGTATCCTACCACTACGGTTAATCGTACGGCATGTCCATTCAGTATGTTTAGAGTTAAAATCTCCAAACATAATGACTGAATTACTAAGAGATAAGATTGCCTCAAAACCATCTTTGAGGGGGAGGTTTTTAGGGGGAATGTAACAGGAGGCTATGACTAAAGACTGATGTCCCGTCATAGATAACCTGCATAACGTAGCTTCCATATTGGTAAGCTGCGGAGTATCAATAAGAGAGCAATGTAGTGTCTTCTTGTAATAAATGGCCGTGCCACCGCCTCGGCGGTCTTGCCTATCATTACGAAGAAGAGAATAATTTTTAATGGATAAGCCTTTAGTGTCTTTGTTTTTAAGGTTGGTTTCCTGTAAGAGGAGAAAATCAGCTTCGCGATCTTTAAGGAAGAGCTTAAGCTCTGGGAGGTTATTTCGCAATCCGCGAATGTTAAATGAAATAAGTGATAGCCTTTTGGGCTTGATACGACCGTGACTTTTAGGCAGAGCAGAAGGCTCTGTCATTGTAAGCTAAGTTAATTAAGTTAACTTAACTTACAACGAACGCAATAGGTTACTGTGCTCTACGAGAGCCAGAAGACGGTCCTGGGGGGACCGAGCGGCGCGCAACTTGTTTGCTAATATAGCAATTTCGTTAACGTCGATATTCCTTATCGCGGCGTAAACCGTGTTAAGGTCATCGGCGATTGTAGGCTGTTTCTGCTGCGGAGCAGAGGTTGCCTGCGGTGTTTCAACCTTTTTGGGGCCCCAGGGAAAAACTGGAGCCTGCGTAGGCTTTGAGAAGCCCGGAGGTGGCCTAATAGGTACTTTTGGTGGTCTCGGGGGACCCTGAGGGGGTCTTGCAACGCCCTGAGACGGCTGAGATAAGCCCTGACGGGGCCTCCTAACATATAACGCCGGGAATGAACGGTCATTTACCGGCGGTGGGACCTGTTTAATTATACGAGGACGAGGAGCGCACGGGCATCCTCTGTAGCTTGCCGGGTGGCCTGTCTGTTGACACAGGACGCACGCGGGCGGGGATACGGCATCTTTAGGCCGGGGACACTCTTTGGTGATGTGTGGATCTAGGCACTTAACGCACCTGGGTGGGGCAGAGCAATTGGCCGCCGCGTGGCCATATAGTTGGCAGCGGTGGCACTGCGCCGGGAAACCGCGCCTATGCGGTAACTCAACCCTAACTCCCGACAAGCCGCACACCGTGCGTACTTGCCGGAAGATGGTTTTCGCCTCCGGAACGTTAGTTAGGATAGCTAAGACTATCGGGTATCTCAACCCGGTCCTACTGTGCATTTTATGAACAGCTTCAACGGGGAATCCTTGTGACTTAAGGTCATCAAGAATCTCCTCGTTGGAGAGTTCGAACGGGACGCCTCGGATGACGGCCTTGACTTTACGCTCTTCCGGAAGAGCGTATGTGTGGTACGATACGCGTTCAGTTGTAAAAAGCCTAGTGAGGAGGCGAAAATCGTCAATCGATTGCGGAACTATTTTTATCGCTACGCCCATGTTCGTAGCTAGGTCGTATTTAATTCCAGAGTCGTAGCAGATCTTGCTAAGTCTGGTGAACTCCGCCTTGTCTCTCAAAAAGACAGGGGGCGGGACTGGTTTTTTCGCGAGTTGCGGAGCGCAACGTGAAGCCGGCTTCGACGGCGCTGCAATATCTAAGGGGGTCGAGGCAGCGGCGGGGGCTGCGGAGGTAGACGCGGCAGCGGCGGGGGCTGCGGAGGTGGGGGGAGCGGCACGGGCCGCTACGGCGGGGGGCGAACGGTTTTTCGCGGCGCGCTTCGCTGCGCAAGTCCCAGACTTCACAGCAACTGCTTCAGACTGACTGCACAGCTTCAGAGCAAGTCCCTGTTCTCAAAAGAACAGGGACTTGCTCTGAAAAGAGCAAGTAACGTTTTTACAAGAAACAGATACACGGAATATAATAAACAGATATGTAATAAAATATACTAATAAACTTATACACTAGTATCTAAAGTTCTACAATATAATACAAGCGGTCAGCCAACCTCCCCGACCGAAGGCGGGGGGGTGAGAACTGAGAGTTAGCAAGAAAAACTTACCAGACTTCAGCACTATTCAGTGCTCACTAAATAACGCGAAGCGCGGTAAGGAGGGGGCACTAACGTAGGGACGTTAGGCACGCGGACAACCTGTACACAACCGCTCGGGGGCGGTGAGACAGGCGGAATGCCGACCGTTCTTTTTTTTTTTTTGCGCCCGAAGCAATTTGGAAAAGGGCTACCCTTTACGGGAGGCGGAAAATGCATTACGCATACCACGATGGCTATCCATCGTGGTTATGGGGGACTCACGCCTAACGGGGGAGCCTATGTGATACCCCCTAAAAACCGCCTTTGGGGACTGGCAACCAGCTGTTTAAAGCTTCCTATGCCGTATCGTAAAGCGACCCTCTTTTGGGAAAAAGAGGGCGCAGGCGGCTATAAGCCGCTGAGGGAGTGCCTACGAAGGCAATTTGATTGTAAAAATTTAATTATTTATGAAAGTTTAATTATGAAATTGACTGAGCCACCAGGAGGTAGTTCAAATCGTTTGACAGAGAATAGGCGGGTTCGAGTGGGAGTTCCTCGGCCTGCGGATGCGATAGCGAGAGGGAGTGGGGTTGCACACTTAGCTACCTCACGAATAAGTATGTTTAATGAAACTCTGAGACTTTGAAGAAGTTTCAGAGAGTTTTAATTAGTGAGTGCCTACGAAGGCAGTTTTAACCCGACGTATTGACCTTACGATGAAATGATTAAAATAATTTTATAAAGTACTTAAAAGATTATGATGCTCTGTAAGAGCAAGGAGTCTGTCCTGAGGGGACTTGGCAGCGCGCAATTTGCGTGCTAAGACTGTGATCTCCCCAATGTTGATGTTCTTAATAGCGGCGTACACCGTATTAAGATCATCAACCATTGAGGGTTGTGCTTGCTGTGCAGCGGGGGACGACCGCGGAGGGTCGGCCTTTTTGGGTCCCCAGGGAAAGACTGGAGGCTGTAACGGTTGCGAGAAGCCCGGAGGTGGGCGAAGAAGAGGGGGAGGGACCCGGGAGGGCCTTGGGTCTACCTGAGATGGGCGAAAATATCTCTTAGGTGGCAATCTTGACGGGAGGGCCGGGAATGACTTAGCATTAACCGGCGGTGGAGCATGCCTAATGGGGCGGGGGTGAGGTGCGCAAGGGCAGCCTCTGTAGTAAGCCGGGTGGCCTGTTTGTTTGCACAGGACGCACGCGGGTGGGGATTCGGCATTTTTGGGCCGGGGACACTCTTTCGTGTTGTGGGGGTCGAGGCACTTAACGCACCTGGGTGGGGCGGAGCAGTTGGCCGCCGCATGACCATATAACTGGCAGCGGTGGCACTGCGCCGGGTAGCCGCGCCTATGTGGGAGCTCAGCCCTAACTCCCGACAGCCCATACACTGTGCGTAACTGCCGGAAGATAGTCTGTGCCTCCGTAGCGTTTGCAAGAATAACAAGAGCGAGGGGGAACCTCAAGCCCGTTCTGCTGTGCATTTTATGCACAGCCTCAACCGGGAATCCTTGGGACTTAAGGTCCTCAAGGATTTCCTCGTTGGAAATTTCAAAAGGGACGCCTCGGATGACGGCCCTGATTTTGCGCTCTTCCGGAAGAGCGTATGTGTGATAAGAGACTTTTTCGGCTGTGAAGAGCCTGGTGAGACGACGAAAGTCGTCGACAGATTGGGGGATGATTTTAATAGCCTCCCCGAGGTTGGTGGCTTGGTCGTATTTAATTCCTGCGTCGTAGCAGGCTTTGGAGAGGCGGGTGAACTGAGCCTTGTCTCGTAAGAAGACAGGGGGCGGGACTTGCTTCTTAGTCGGGTTAGAAGCACAGCGGGAGGCCGGCTTGGGCAGTGGTGTCGCGGAAACTGCAGCGGGAGCTGCGGGGACTGAGGCAGCTACGGGGGCTGCGGGGTTTGCGAGGGCGGCAGGGGCCGCCGAAACGGTGTGATTTTTCGCGGCGCGTTTACGGCGCTTGGAAGACACTGTCGTGAACTCCGATTCTTCGGATCCGTCTGAGTCAAACGACTCCATAGAACCGGAGCCCCGGAGCGTGGATTCGGAGTCGGAGTTGGAGTTGGAGCACTCCATGTCTACTTCGAGAGGCGCGAATGAGTTCTGGGACTCAATGTCAGCCGCTATAACTGACATCGGTTGGTTAGCATTAAGAGCGAACAGAACGTTTGAGAGGAGTTTGACAATAGCCTGTGGGTCGTTCATCTTAGTGACGGCGTTAAGTATGGAATTTTTTAAGTCCTGACCGGACATGTTTGGACGGGTGTAAATTAAAGTAATTTGGTAAGTAAGTTAGGGGGACACTGTTCTGAAAAGAACAGATCGTA